TCATCTTGGTTTTTGCTTTGGGTTCCTAACAGGGAAAATTCAATCAAGCATAAAGGGCTATAATTTGCTGCTTCTTTTATCAAAAGTTAATGACATTGCTTTATCAGTATAGAGTGTGTGTAATTGATCCATTGGCCTTTCTCTTTCCAGTAGTGAAAAAACATGCCGTAGCAATGTGTGTATGTAGACAAAGGGAAAACTAGAAGGATAATTGTCATAATGATTGGGTAATAAAGTCGGGTCCTGAGTTTTGTGACTCTGATAATTGCCACTTCTACGACTGCCTCGCTTATGGAAAATGGTGGTGGAAAAACCATCAGGGAAACAGGAAGGGAGACAGTATTATCTGTCAGTTATAGTGTCAGCTCTAACTACATTACTGATAAAAAGAGGTACACATGTCTACCTCCCCAGTTTATTCTGTGCATACCTTTAAAAAGTATATGTTGGTTATGTTTTTAAAAAACTAATACTACTTAAGTATTCTAGGGGAACTTTTTTTTTTTTTTTTACAGCCCTGTGGTAAATTATGGACTTCATTAAGTGTTTTTTTAATATAATTCTGAGTAATCAACTCCGAATTTACATCTTTTCTAAGGGATACAACATTCCAAGTAGAATGTTCTTTAAGCTCAGTAACAGACACGAACAGTTCTTAGCAATGAGAAGATTATTACAGAGAATTCACATGGAAAAATCAAGTCTTTCTTTCCATTATTTTGGAAATGACATTGGGAAGGGATGGACTGACATAAAACCTCAAGGCTGTGACTGTATCTGGAGAGGCCACATTGGCGAGGTGTCCTGGTCAGGAAACTGCCTGGTTTTGCTCACTGAGCAGCTTGGAAATGCTCTGAGTTCAAGAGGGTTAAGAAGAGAAGTGACCATTGTCATTTTCCCTCCTGACATATTATAAAACAAATGGGCTGGAGTGATTTGCAAACTTTGTTTTCTTTTGGGACAACACAGTGAGCTGCCATCTTGGGTGCCCCCTCGGGGTGTGGTGGGAGCAGGCATGGGGTCCTGGCCTTGGGGGTAGGATGTGGAGCGGCGCTGTTCTTCTGGGGGCACCATCCCAAGGGACACCTGAGGATGCAGCGTTGGCTGGGATTCGGGTAAATTGGAGGCCATCCTAGAAGTAAGAACATCCATCACGCTTAGTAAGATCTTGGGTTGTAACGGCTGCCTTGGGCCTCCAGACATTTTTTATAAAGCTCTCCGTCATGAAGCCCTCTTTCCGCCTCTGCTGCCATATGTTTTTCCAGCTGGACCTCCACCAGTCTTCCGCTCTCCAGAAAGTTCTCATTCATTCAGCCCAAGGGTACCTCGTTGGCTTTTCTCAGGGCTGCTGGAAGTTTCCGCAGGAGTCCTGGCCACGTGGAGAATCGAGCTCCCTGGGCGCGTAGAGGAAGGTCTCAGACTGGGAGTCTGTGCCTTCAGATGCTTTGCTTTTCTGACTCAGTTTAAATGTGGAGAAATGTAAATATACATATTTAAATATGTGAAGCTGCATCAGAAAAAAAAAAATCTTATTAGCATGCATTTTCTGTGATTCAGGCTTGCTCACCAAATCCTGCAGTAGGGAAATTTAAGAAGGGGTTTTTGTACACAGACTGGGATCTCGCCCCCCCCCCCCCCCCCGCCACTTAACTGATGAGAGCCAGTGGCCTCCAAACCTTGTTTTCCATTGTTCATTTTCTATTCACCTGGGGCACTGGGGATGTTTTAGCTTTTCCAGATGCTGGTTTTCAGATTAGCTGACACAATGGTGGGAGTCACAACTCTTTAACACACTTTCGAGTTCTTACTTGTAGGACAAGGCTCACCCTTCCAAATTCCAAGCAAATAGTTCGCTCTTCATGATTCAGACTTGGTTGCTGTCCTGTTGCTCATTTTTCCTTCGCATGAATTTAGAATTCAGTGCTTCAGCCCCCAAAGCCTAACTGAACAGGAAACTGTGCACACATTCTCCGTGGCAAATCCTCCTTGGAAAACCCTCATAAGGAAGTGGGCTGTCCATGTAAAGATTTTACTTTATTGATGTGTTTGTATTTGATTTATAATCAAAATTGAGTCCACTTCCAGATTTTAATTGTGCCCCCATTGCATACTGGTAAGTGCTGGGCTACGCTTTGCCCTCTGCTCCCTGCCCCCCACCCTCCTGGTTTCAGGCTGCTCCCCTGTGTGCGGCTGCCATTTACGGCCCCATCTTTTCTCATCACTGTGAAATCTGCCGGGGCAAAAATAATACCTACGGTAATGTGAAGAAGCCTAATGAAGAAGCAACTCGAATTAGCAGCACAAAATCCAGAATCTTGACATGGGTTAGCTTGGGTACACCAATCACCTTCAGGGAGAGCTGTGAAGTCGTACAATCTGAAACGGTAAAGTATTTTTAAAAAGTAGGCAACAGAAAGCAAGATTGTGAGGAAATCACTCCAATGTTCACTTTCTTTCTAGTTTATTGGTGTCTCTAAATGCTTAAATGAGAATATCCTCACAGTATTTCCAAACTGATTGTGTAACCACTCAGAAGCTTGACGACGAACCCCTCAACACTCACGATAATGCAAGTGGCATATATCTGGTAGGTTACCCATTAAACGACTGTGACAGATCATATTTCTGGTTAATTGTTAGTTCCTTATGACCTTAGACTTTGCCTGTGTATTTAATAACACCATCTGCTGTCTCGGGTAGCAATACCACCTTTTTTACGTGAGGATTACTGTTCTTACTTCGTAAACAATGGTGCTCAATGGGAGGTGTTGAAACTCCACCATAGAATTATTTAAATTATGCTACCTCTGCAAAGCTTGAAGAGAGAACTGCTTTTCTTCCTTATGCTGGCTCTGTAGGCTTCACCTAAAATATCATAATGGACATACCATAATAAAAGCATAAAAATGATTTCCAAGTTGTAGTCTTGGTCTGCAAGATGAAATGTTTTCAAAGAACTCGACTGTTATGTCTGTCCTGTTTGGCTTCTTCCAGACTCATTTCTCATAGTGTATAAATCTCTGGGAAATTTCCCAATAAAACAGACAATTAAGAACTAATTCCCACAAAGTGAAATGAGATGAGACTTTTTTTTTTCTTTTTTTTTTTTAACCATCACTCAAAATTATACCTCTCCATTTGGGGGCATGTTGAGAAGGCTGCTCACGAACGAGAAATATCAAAACATCTACTGATGTGTCTTCTATAACAAGGCAGATGGTGACAGGTTTTAAGTTGGGCTACCTTTGTTTGGGAGCCACAGACAGAAGCACCTGTGAAATGAATTCTTGGTGGCTGGGGAGAAGGGTTGCGGGGGAGCATTCACTTTTAATTTAACTAGGTTCATGCTGTACAGGGTATCGGACTGTAGTGTCGTTCTCCAACCCATGAATCACAACTTCCTAGAAAACAGGGGTTCTGCGGAGCGGTAGAACTGGTTTGCGCTGAACTGGTCTCTTCTGCACCAGGGGGCAGCTGTGCCTCTCTGAGTCAGGACAGACACCAGTCACCAGTTCCTTTGTCTATCTGTCCACTAACCCGTTCCCAGCCTTGACCCCAAAAGGAGCCAAGGTGAATGGGAATTGCTACTTGATTTTACTAGGGAAATGACAGCTCCTTAAAGGTGAAAACTTTTTGCAACAGTAATTTCTCATTCCTTAACATGGTGACACTACTCAAAAAGTAGGAAGGAGCATTGGAAGATAAAGTGCTCTAGGTCATGCGTACCTGATTTGGAACTGACTTTTGTGGCGAACTGTGACAAAGCTCATAGGATTGACCGTTATAAGCCCAGCACTGACATGACCCATAACTTTATGCTAAAATATGGACACTTGACACGGTAGAGGTTTGGGGGCTGTTTTTTTGGGGGGGATAGTTAATTATGGGGAACCGGAGATGTTGGCCTGAACACCCACCACATGAAAATAATCAAGAGGTCATCTGCCAACAGAAAACAACTTCGAAAGTATGGAATGTAGAATTCTGAGCCTAAACCACTTGACAGCATCCCAAAAAGGCATGTCCTGACATGTTTTCAGTATAAGAGGGCTTCAGCATTCCAGGCTTTTAAAAGAATGTCTCCTGTTACCGCTAAAAGGGGCTGCTTCTCCTTTTCCACACTCTGAATTCATGGAATATGGAAGTCTGATTCTGGGACACTCACTTTCAAATATATTGAGTAATTTTTTTAATATGAAAAGCAAGGAATATGGCTCTTTCTTGGTTTTAGAAAAATAGTTGAAACGCCCACACATAAGTGCTTCCCACCAACACCATTTTTGAAGTATACAGAACTTCAGCAACGTCATTAGGGTTTTGTCATAATCAGAGCCAAATAAACGAAACACAAACAGAACATTATGAATGTAATACTTCACTATAGGTAACACATTTAAAATATAAGGATTCCTAGAACTTATCTCCCCCAACATCCTTTATAAATTCAGTATACAGCCAGCAGAGAAGCCGCCCAGCTATTAAGCAGAGGAATCCTGGGTGAGAATACCAAAAAAACCCTCAAAACAAGTTTCCACATCCTGCTGATCTATCCAGCCAAATGCCTGTCAGTGTATGGAACAGTTTTTCATTTTACTCAACTGAGGTCCTCTTGAGTCTTCTGAAAGGGCTGTCAATAGATATTGAATCTTTGCCCATTTTATATGAAGTATATACATATATACATAATCTTTGCCCATATATATATATATATATATATATATACATATATTTAAAATAAGGCTGTCTCTTGTGGAAATAAATATTTTCCATTAAGCCTTGAGACACTTCAATTGGGCATATTAATGCTGATACAGATGCTTTTGCCCTGGCTAAGTTAAACTAAGCACAGACCGTGGCTTAGACACTCTTAGCTTGGGATCAGAGCCCAGACCAAGCAGACATAATGTTCTCAGATGATGGGATGATCTGGTAGCCACATGACCTCACAACTTTATTTTGATGGCACCAGGCCCCCCAAATAATGGGCAGACATTCATTGGTCACTCCTATGCATTGTTTTGTGATGCCACTTGTGTCAGAAGAATGTGGGGCTTGGGTTTGTCAAAGTCCCCTGTATGCCCATGAAATCACGCACCGTGGGAAGGGTCTGGGTGGAAATGGCATCGAGTTCAGCGTCTCATCTCCCAGTAGAGAAAAACGCCAGCCCAGGGTTTCCAAGTGACCTGCATCAGGTGATCTGCTGGGTGTGTGAACAGAACCTATGGTTCCTTGCCCACTTCCTATGTGGGTATTTACATGTATGTAAAAAAAGAACCTGGGAAGAAAACAGAAATAGGAGGTAGCCCACCAGTGGGCTAAAGAAAGAACTGCAGTCCGGGAAACGTGGATTCTGGCTGTTGTTTACAGCAAAGTCTTCATTTCCCTGGTGCTCCAATAAATTGATAAAGTGAGCAGACATGACGTCTTAGTCATGGTGAAGAAGAACGAATTGATCTGTTAATGCAAATGTAGGTAGATCGATAGGTAGTGGAATAAAAGCAATCTGAAAAATGTTCAAAATCTAGCTATCTCTGAAATGCTAAGAGATAGCCCCTAGGAAGTGCCCATGTGTGAAGTTCCCAGGCAAGTTTTCAGACCTGTTTCCTCACTAAGGAATTTGCTGGAAGGGCTGACAAGGCAGGCCAACAAATCCATCAAAGTTCATCCGTACTTGCATTTTAGCTGTGACCAGCTTTTTAGTAAACACACTATATTTAGGCAGTCGCAATAGGAAATCTGTTTCTCTATTTCTGTCCACTGGTGGTCTTTCGGCAGGTCACAAACTTGGGCTGTCTGTTCTCAAGACAAAGTTCGGCTTTCTTCTTCTCTGTGTCAACTCAGTTCTGAGCATGAATCTGGATTGTCTCGATGATTCTGCACTCCCCTTGGCAAAGAGGCATTGCCATGTGGGCACAGGAGCAGATGTGCTAATGCACACTTACTCCAATTAATTAATTATAGCCCATGATGAGTCTTTTAAATTTTTCTTCCTTTTTTCCTTCTGCAGGGAGCCTTCTGTGTCTCCTCTGTACATAAAACTGACCACACACAAAATGGAGAAATAATTTTACTGTTAAATATTTAGATCTTTGGGTACAATTAGAATATCACCTATACACATAAAATAATTGTTTTAAATGACAATATTACTTTTTTCCCCCCCTGTTCTATCCTTTGATGTGGAGAAGCTGTTGGGTGGGCCCTTAGTGCTTCTTTGGGAAGGACTGTTCCAGAAATAGGTATAATTTAGTGTGTTCCATAGAGGGGGTAAGTTCAGGGTCTTCCTACATTGCCATCTTGGACTGGAACTCCTTCTTCTTGTTTCTAAACAGATTAGACGAGAGCAAGTAAGCCATCAGAACAGGTTATTGAAACCCCATTGGTAAAGGGCAAATTTTCCCACTGATTGGCATTCCTTTATAAAATATGTTTTCAGCTTGTCAAGAGAAAGTCAGTCTAGTTCACAATGGCTCACTTTTTCGTAAGGAATACAAACAATGACAATGAAGGTCTATATGGAATAAGTTGTGATCATTTTGCTTCCTACAAGCCCTTTATAACCATGAAATGCTATGGAATATCTGACTTCGCTTTTTTTTTTTCTTTTTTCTTTTCAGGGCCCTCTAGCCCCTTGTATTTATTTGTCTGAGTGCAAAGTAGCCAGGATTGGAATCCTATAATAGGAATTAAATTATTTCATGGGATTTTCCTTTTTGTTCTTAAGGAAACATGTCATAAGGATCTAGAGGTGCAGTATTCCAATTTGGTGACTGCCCAAACCATATCCTTACCCGGCTAAATTCCAGAATGGAAGTCTTTTATCTTACCACCAACATTGATTTTAATCTAAGGTTCATAAAGACCAGCACAAAATAGCTTACCATTTAAGGAGTCCCATACCGGGCACGGCATAGCGGCAACTGTCCCTCATCTCTACCATCTCCCTCTATCTGTTGTGACTGTTTGCTGTTCTTTGCTTGCATGTCCTGTGAACTATCTTAGAATTGCTTTTTTTCCCCTATAAATATAGATAGAGATTGGCGCATCTTAATATTCTCTTTGTTAAGACTCACAAATGTTAACACTCCCTTGCTAGTTTTCTATACTGTGCTTACGTGATTTTTTTTTAAAATTCAAAATGCAAGTAGAATCTTCTAGACTATATCATTAGACAACAGGACTCATACCTGGATTTCAGTTCTGACACTCACCGTTAATGCTACTGTAGGCAAATCACTCAATCTTTCAATACCTTGGGTTTCTGTTTCTGAAAAAGGATGACAAGATAATAAAATTTACGGTTGAAATATCTTTTTTGAATGTCCATATGAAAGGTATAATAAACATATAATAAACACAAGACAATCATATTATCCTTAACCTTTTAGAATTGTAACATCTTTCATTTTTTCAGTCCCCTTACTACTGAACGTGTATGCAGGAAAGTCACATTTTAAGTAGGTAAGCTAATGAAAGAAAATTCACCTTCTTAATATTTTCAAACATTATCCTTGAGGTTAGTTCACTATTGTGTCAGCATCTTCCTAGTGATATTTTTTAAAGGATTTTGGTGAGTGTCTTAAATATCCGTTAAACCCACATTCAGACATTTTTCCAGAAAAGTACATTTCATCATGCTCTTTCCAAAAAGTCAATAGCAGGGTTCTGGCAGCAAATGGCTGTTGAATCCCTTCCAGTTCTCCTACAAATTTCCTTGCAGACTGAGCGAGTGTGTGACCTCAATCTCTCCTTTGTCTGTATTTTTCACTTAGCGCTTTAAATTCTGACACAGTAAGTAGTTAGCCTACATCAAGACCCCAATTTTTACTCTAAACGGGGACCTATACATATGTTTACACATAGACTGGTGACTAACAGCTTCTGTGTATATGTGGGTGATTAAGAGCTCCTGTGATTTTATTTGGCCTGATTCTTAGACCCTCCACAGAGTTTATCTCCCCCACATGCAAAAATCTCTTTAATATCCGAATGCTTTCTGTGCACAGGGGAGGCAGGCTACAGAGAGAGGTCACACAGAGGGAAAGTATTTCTAAAAAAGTGTATTTGCAATTTGAAAACCAGTAGAACTGTCTCATAAAATGCTATTACTTAGAAGAAAGGCTCTTCTATCTATGACAGAAGGTTCATTTGTGTCACAACTCTCCATAGCGTTGTACAGACGTATTCATATAAACAGGTCTGTTCGAGTACTTATTTATAACTTTTTTTTTTTTTAAGTAGAAAAGCCCTGAGTAGCACATGCACTCTTCAATCTTATGGCAGTTTTGCCCAAGTACAAGGAGCTGAGGATGTTATCCACAGAATCCCAAATGACACACAGGCTGCCTTTTTTCCCTCCTCCTCAAATATGCCTGGGTCAGAGTTTAAGAAGCTCTAGTATGGTTGCAACATCACGCTATTAATAGAAACTGCGCTCTGAAGAATGAAGGCTGTGATTCCACATGTGAATATAGGTTGAAGTGCATGAACTCACAAGGCTCCAGGAATACCACCTCGTGGACAGCACACACGTTGCAACCCTCCCCCAACTGCATGTCCTTAGGGCAGAGTTCCCTCAGGGTCCTCTGGAAGGAACCATTTTTTTTTTTTTCTTTACACTGCCCTGTGGACTGTCAGTACAGCGCTGTGGTATGTTAACAAGAGCATCTCCACTGGAGTAAGCTCCGGGGATGGTTCGGATTTTAGATGTTGAATGCTCACACGTGGAAGCCCATGTAAAAAAACCCCATGTAAATTGGGGAGGGCAGATTCCTTCCACCCATCGAGCTATTGCTTAGAACTGCTCCCTTTGGCTAAACATCTGATCACTTCCCTTATTCCTGTTTTTTGATGGTATCATAATAAACGGCTTTCCTTTTGCTCTTAAACTGTGGATGATTTTTATTTTTCAAAAAATCTTAGAAATTAGAGCTGGAAAGGACTGTTGCTTCATCTAATCTCGGCAGAGGTGTTCCCCGTAGGATGTTTTCTTTAGTTAAGACAAATTCCAGCGTTTCAGCAATCTGGTTAAAACCAGCCTCAACCCACTGCCCCACCAACCCTTCATGCGGCTTCCACCTGCCTGTCCACGTATGAATGTGCAGGAGCTCCCTGCAGCCAACCTGGTAACCTTGACTCTGAGTGGCAAAGAAGATGATAATGCTCTTCTGAAAGGACCTGCAGCCTTAAGCAAGAGGGCAGAGTCTACGTGACTAAAACATACCAACTTCCTCTTTCATAAGTCATCACATGATGAACTACAATTACAATTCCTGCCTTGTCTCTGCGAATTGCAGACGCATTGCCTCACCCTAGAAGCCCTGCTTCTGTGTGTGGAGGAGGCGGCTCTTGCTGCTGCAGCAGCCGCTTTGGAAGGGATCCAACTCCAGTCTGTGCCGGGAGGGAGGGCGGAGGGTGGAAGACGAAAACAAAGCTATGTTTACTTAGCATAGATCGATAAAGCTGCTTCGGAGCTACATGAAAGGCCAGGCAGCATGAAAGACTTTTGATACAATATAAGGAATTGCTGTCCCGGATCCAGGGCCAGCCTTAACCCCCTTGATCCCGGAGCCTTTTATGGCAAGGGAGACCAGAACTAAAATAGCCTCTCCATTCTCCAGCAGGCATTTCATTAGGGAAGTTACAACAACTCGGTTTCGACATTAAACTCCTAGTGTAAAATAAAAAGGAAATGCCCTTCATTTGGAGAAGAAAAGCTCCATTCTACAAGAATCCTTACTTAGTCCCTCTCAAGGCAGAATTTGTATCTCGGTGTTTCTATTTTGGGATAGAACGGCAAGCTTTCCCTTGAGGGTATTACAGTACCAGCTTGCAGGTAAATGAGTATAATGACACCAGGGCTCTAACACAGGGTGGGTTTTTTTGTTTTTTTAATCTTCCAGTCACTGCCTGGGGGCGGGGGGCATGTCTTGGGTGTGTCCAGATGGCTAGTTTGTCTGCAGCACAAAGCCTGGACCTCGTCCACTTCAGGCAGTGGCTCGGAGAGAGAAGTCACGTGCTATAATGAGTGGCACAGGGTCTCTCTGGAGAGCGACCGGAGGGACAGGTCCTGAAAGAGGCTCCAGACGGCAGGTACCGGGAGTGACCAAACCCACTGGCACCAGTTGCTCCAGGGAAGGAACTGGGCATGTCCAGTGCCCCCTGCTAGAGGAGGGTGAGGCAGGACTACCATTGCAAGCAAGACCCGGGACCAGATGGGGAGACCTCCACGGCAAGCACACCTTCTCTGGAAATCCCCAGGAGAAGACTTGCAGGGTTGGCCTGTAAAAACATCTGGGCCTGGCACTACGTTTTCTGCGCCACTTTCGAACAGGTTTCTTCATGCTGCTGAGGCAGCTCCCTCCACTATTTCGCTAAGGGTGTTTTTCCTCTTCCTTGTGGTTAGTCCTTTGAAGCAACCTGGCATTTTCAATAGCAACAACTACAGCGAAACGTCAGCAGGATTTTTTTCTCTCTCCACCTACCGACCCAGTGGTAGGCAAGATAATGTAATGAGTACCCTGCTCTTCCCACACGGGGCCAGCCCGTTCCCGTCTCAGCGGGCGCTGCGGGCCTGTTTTCCAACAAAAGCAGCTCCGAAGGGCCGCCCGTGCAGAGCCGAGGTGTCTGGGTCCCCACCGAGAATGACTAAGCCGCGTCTGTTAGTAAGACTAAGACCGGCCAGAAGCGATTCACCATGGCACACAGCAGCTCCTCCTCCCGATAAAAGTGGGACACTCGAGCGCTCACTTCAGTCCCGGCACGGCCCGCGGCCGCCAGCACCGGCACAGCGCGGCGGGCCCAGCGGGCTCTGCGGCCGCGCCCCGCCTTCGCGCCAGGCGGGTCCGCGCTCACCGGGGGCTCCCCGGGCCCGGGCCACGCCGTCGGTCCCGCCCCACGACGGCGCAGGGGACTTCCGCCGATGGCCCGGGCCCGCGCGATCCTCCCGGCCGGCCAGCCGGCCACCCCACGGCCCGCGCGAACCCGAGCGCCCGCGCCCCCTCCGGCCCAAGTTTGGTCCCGAGGGCGGGGCCCGGAGGCCTCCTGTAGCCGGAGGGGGCGGAGCCTGCGCGGTGACGCGACCGCGCCGGCCGTAGACCCCGGATCCCTGGAATGTGCATTCGTTCAATGAGGCCGCCAGTGCCGGGGGCGCCGAGTCACGTCCGCGCGGAGCGTGCGCACTCGGCGGCGGCGGCGCACGCGGGCCCGCCGCTCTGGGCCCGCGGCTCTGCGCCCACGTCACGCGCCCGCCGCACGGTCCGACAGGAGGCGGCGGGGTCTGCCGGCGCGGCGAGGACCAGCCCCCCGCCGCCCCGGCTCGGCAGGGTGGGCCGCTGCTGAGGAGCAGGGGAGGGCGGGGCTGAGGCTGGCGAGGGTCCCCAGGCCTCGGCCGAGCGGCGTGCGGACGCGGCCCCGGGCTCGGGCGCAGACTCCGCCGTTCGTGAAACTTAGGGCACCGCGGCGCGCGCGTGCGTCCCGACGGGTGCGAGTGTGCAAGCGCCCAGTGTGAGTCCACACGTAACTCCTCAGAACCAGAACTGAGCCACGCCACACTGACAGTCCCCGCTCTCGAGACTGACAGCGCCAGTCACCGAGGGCCTTTTGAAAACACGAGCACCAGCGCGATTTGGCCCAAACGTCCTGGAGGGGAGGAATGGGGACCGAGTAGTGGAGGCAGCCGAGCGTTGGGACGGCCGCGCCGCCGTCTCCTCGGGGACACCGGCCGCTGGCGCTCTCGGGCGGCGCTGACCCGCGGGCGGGCGCCTCGGAGCCGGCTATCCCGGCAGCGCTCGTTCTCTCCCCGCGCGGGGGGAGGGGGAGGGCGCGAGCGCGGGGGAGGGCGGGCGCGCGCACGAGGGGAGGGGGCCCGCGCAGGCGCCGTGCGAGGCTGTCGAAGAATCAAGTCTGTAGAAGTGGAGCGGCCGCGGCGGCAGCAGCAGCAGCGACGGCGGCGGCGGAGCAGAGGCGGGCTGGGCGCTGACGCGGGCGCTGGAGAGCGGCGACGCCGGGAGCTGTGAGAGAACAGCGGAGCGACCCGTGGCCCGCGCCGCGCCCGTGCTCCACGCCGTCCGGCAGCTGCCGCCGCCTCGGCGCGGCATGCCCCGCCGCTCGGGCTGAGCCTGCCCCGGCGGCCGCCCCCCGCCCCCCGCCCCCCCGGCCTCCCCGCCCCCCGCCCCGTACTCCGCGCCGGCCGCTACCGCGACCTGCTGCGCTCCCCTGCACCCGCGCGGCCCGTCTTCGCCCCGGTCTGGAGGCCGGCCGCGGCCCCGGCCGAGCTCCC